CTACCTTACTGTTTCTACTACTTATTTATCAATCTTCTATACTACGTAAAATACCACTATTTTCTATAGTAACAACATTACTAACATCTATACTATCATTGTTGCTATGTTTCTTTCTTTTGGGGCCATGAGGCATGTTAAAGGGCCCAACCTGGTTAATTACTGCAGGAAAGGTAGACTATTAAATTTTGCCCACCTTTTATTTATGTTCACCATTCTCTGCCCCATTACATAGGTTCCTGTATGTGGTAGTGGGGGGTTTTGTGAATTCTGGCCTGTAATTGACTTAGGTGGGGCCTATAGGGGTCAGTCAGTTTCACTTTAGTATTTTATCTGTTTCTGTGATCTCATCAATGCAGCTGCTTTGTATTCAGGTTTTCTGTTGAGAGGGAATAGGTCATGCTGCCCTAATTTATCGAAAATTCTCTTTGAATCTAATCCAGTAAAGTTGAAACAATTGTTGCAAGACTGGTTTTTCCTAAACTCTGCAGAACTCACAGTGGGAGCCGTGAATGTGGCAGTACAATATATCCCCAAAAGTGGAATCAGAGCCATCCCAAAGAAGAGAGATAAAGGGTGCTCCCCCAAAAGCATCTGCTGTGCTGATGTCTCTCCTTTGCCAGGACTGTGTCAAAGGGCTTCAGGGGTTTGGCTCCCAGCAATATAACATCAATCAAATCATTACAAAATAGAAAACCACATTTACTCAAGGATATTTCCTGAGACTTTACTATAGTAACCAAAGATTTAAAGAGGGGTAAAATTAATCATGGAATAACAAAATAACAAACATTGTTTAGGATATATCCCTGCAATTACAATGAAGCTGACATGTTTCTGTGAGAACTTTGCTCACATTAAGCACAGTATTTTCAGTTTTGCTCACTTCACAGTAGCTATATGGAAGACACATCTAGCATTGGACATAAAGAAGTCTTTTATCTATGAATCCTTTTATGTACAGTAAGGAGTGAGGCCTGAATAAATGCTTTCTCAAACTCCTGACATTCATAGGGCCTCTCTACATTATGGAATCACTTGTGTGTACTGTATTGTGAGACAAATCTGAAAGCTTTTCCCACTCTCCTTACATTCATATGATTTCCCTTCACTGTGTACTCTTTATGTGAAAGGAGGGTTAAGCAATGATTTAACATTTCCCCACATGATGAGGCTTTCTGCTCCCATAAAGATTTCCAGCCTCGGAAACCCTGTACAGGATCCCTATAAGTCGGAACCGACTGCACAGCACACAACCACCACCACCATCACATTCCTTACTTTCATAGGGTCTTTCTCCACTGTGGATATTTCTATGTGATTTGAAACTTGAGAAATGAGTAAACCTTTCCCCTGATTCCTTATACCCATAGGGTCTCACCACTGTGGATTCTTCTACGTACAGTAAGGGCTGAGGCTCTTGTAAAGGCTTTCCCACACTGCTTACATTCTTAAGGTGTCTCTCCACTATGCATTCGCATATGTATACTGAGGGAAGATGCACATGTAAAGGTTTTTCCACATTCTTTACACTCATAAGGCCTCTCTCCACTGTGGATTCTTCTATGTTGTGTGAGGCTTGAGGCCTGAACAAAGGCTTTCCCACACTGTGTACATTCATAGGGCCTCTCTCCACTGTGGATTCTTCTATGTCTTGTAAGATGTGAAGTTGTTTTAAAGGCTTTCCCACACTGCTTACATTCATAGGGCCTCTCTCCACTGTGGATTCTTCTATGTCTTCTAAGGTGTGCAGTTCTTCTAAAGGCTTTCCCACACTCCTTGCATTCATAGGGCCTCTCTCCACTGTGGATTCTTATATGTGTTCTGTGGCTTGAGGGTGTTAGAAAGACTTTCCCACACTCCTTACATTCATAGGGCCTGCCTGCACTGTGGATCCTTCTATGTCTTCTAAGGTGTCCAGTTGTTCTAAACGCTTTCCCACACTCCTTACATTCACAGAGGCTCTCTGCACTGTGGGTTATTCTATGTCTTCTAAGGTGTGTAGTTGTTCTAAACGCTTTCCCACACTCCTTACATTCATAGGGCCTCTCTGCACTGTGGATTCTTCTATGTATTCTAAGGTATGAAGTGCTTCTAAAGGTTTTCCCACACTCCTGACATTCATAAGGCTTCTCTCCACTGTGGATTATTCTATGTGCTGTAAGATGTGAGGTTGTGACAAAGGCTTTTCCACATTGTTTACATTCATAGGGCCTCTCTTCACTGTGGATTCTTGTATGTCTTCTGAGGTTTGCGGGTGTTAGAAAACCTTTCCCACATTCCTTACATTCATAGGGTCTCTCTGCACTGTGGAGTATTCTATGTGTTTTAAGGTGTGAGGTTCTGCTAAAGGCTTTCCCACACTCCTTACATTCATAAGGCTTCTCTCCACTGTGGATTAGTCTATGTGCTGTAAGATGTGCGGTTGTTCTAAAGGCTTTTCCACATTCTTTACATTCATAGGGCCTCTCTCCACTGTGGATTATTGTATGTGTTCTGAGGCTTGAGGGTGTTAGAAAGCCTTTCCCACACTCCTTACATTCATAAGGCTTCTCTACACTGTGGATTCTTCTATGTGCTGTAAGATGTGTGGTTGTTCTAAAGGCTTTGCCACATTCTATACATTCATAGGGCCTCTCTCCACTGTGGATTGTTATATGTGTTCTGAGGCTTGAGGGTGTTAGAAAGCCTTTCCCACACTCCTTACATTCATAGGGCCTCTCCGCAATGTGGATTCCTCTATGTGTTGTAAGTTGTGAAGTTGTTCTAAACGCTTTTCCACACTCCTTACATTCATAGGATTTCTCTGCACTGTGGATTATTCTATGTGTTCTGAGTCTTGAGGGTGTTAGAAAGCCTTTCCCACAATCCTTACATTCATAGGGCCTCTCCGTACTGTGGATTCCTCTATGTGTTTTAAGTTGTGAAGTTGTTCTAAACGCTTTCCCACACTCCTTACATTCATAAGGCTTCTCTCCACTGTGGATTATTCTATGTGCTGTAAGATGTGCGGTTGTTCTAAAGGCTTTCCCACATTCTTTACATTCATAGGGCCTCTCTGCACTGTGGATTATTCTATGTGCTGTAAGATGGGTGGTTGTTCTAAAGGCTTTTCCACATTCTTTACATTCATAGGGCCTCTCTCCACTGTGGATTATTGTATGTGTTCTGAGGTTTGAGGGTGTTAGAAAGCCTTTCCTACACTCCTTACATTCATAGGGCCTCTCTCCACTGTGGGTTCGCATGTGTCTCTTACACTGCGAGGACACTCTGAAGGCTTTCCCACATTCCTTACATTCATAAGGCTTCTCTCCGCTGTGGATTCTTTTATGTGCAGTCAGTTCTGAGGAATACATAAAAGTGCTCCCACACTCCTTACATTCATAAGCCCTCTTTGCACTGTGGACTGTTTCATGTCTCGTGAGCCTTGAGGCGCGGCTAAGGGCTTTCTCACATTGATTACATTCATAAAGCCTGTCTCCACTGTGAGTTTGCAAATGTGGAGTCTGCTGTGAGGAATCCCTAAAGGATTTCCCACACTCTTTACATTCAAATGGCCTCTGTGCACTGTGAGTTCCTACAAGACCATGGAGAAGTATCCCCTCACCAGAGGCTTTCCCACACTCCATATATTCATGCGGCCTGTCTCCACTTATCTTACATTTATGAGTATTTTTCCCACCATGAGTGCTCACAGGCGTGGTCAGAGGAGAAGGACACCTGCAGTCTTCTCCACAGTCCGGACACTGACAGGTACTGCTTCCAGTGTGAGCTCTACTACGATTGTTCTCTAGGGAATGATCCAGGAAGGCTCCTCCATACTCACAGCATTCAAAAGGATCTACTTCTGTGGGATCTACTTGATGCACAGAAAGACCAGGAATCGGGCTGGAGGTTTCCCCACACTGGTTGTGTTCACAACGTTCACCCAGGTTCTTGATTGAACCAATTCTGTTAAAAACAGGTAGTGTAAATGTAAACCAATGGTGTCTGCTGCAAACGACTCCATTTTCAACAAGGAGACAAGAAAAAAAAAGCCAGTTATCGTGTTGGAAACAAAGGTTTTCGCATGACAGCATTACCGAACACAGTGAACATGCATGTCTTTTCCCTGAATTGTCTCAAGATTCATCTAGGACAACGACTACCATGTCCGTCAATGTGTAAGACTTCCTCCTCATTGTGTTCCAGTGAAATATGCTTTAAACATTTTGCTAACTAATACTTATGAAAAAAGTTCTTACGTGAATTTTCAGGGCACTCGTTTTACAACCAGGATCATACACATATACACATATACACATGGGTCCTGATGAAGGATTAACACTAGGCGGCAAGCTAGATTCGAACCACAAAGTAGAACGACTTCATGGCATGAAACAACAGCTACTCCTTGGAACGTCAACAAAGGGTTGCTAAAAGTCAGAACTGACTTAGCAAACACAACACATATACATCCGTCGGCTTCAGGGATTCAAACCACTTTGGAACGACTCAGCAATTTCTAACATAAATGAGAGAAGTTTCCAGATTGTATAGCAATCAAAACTGTTGTTTCAATAGAATTTGATTTGATGAAGAAACAATCACTGGTACTGCATTCAAGGATGGTGAGCAAACCACCAATATGAACGTGTCACGCTACACACTCCTGTAACACCAAACACCTGCATGAATACGAAGAGTCTTACATCACAGACTGGGTATGTTGTAGGGCTCTGGAGATCAACATACATTTAGAGCTGTGCAGCCTGCCACCATATCTGAATGGCACACTACTGACAGTTTCTTAATTGACTCACAATTTAAAAGGAAAGAGATTTGACTGTTGGGAAATGCATAC